TATTACAAACCAATCTTTAAAAGAAAAGCAGCCACTTCGCAGCAGAGGAACTAGGCAGACCCCACCTTAACTAAATGATCCAAGTTGATGCCACCAGGAATGAGATGTATCAGCACCAGGTGCCTGTTGATACAATGTATGCAGCCTAAGCTCTGGGGCATTTTTGCAACAGATGCACAAACTTAGCCTAGTTAGGAGAAAACATCAAAGTTGAAATGAGGAACATTCTACAAGGTAACAGGCCAGTGTTCTTGAAAGCTGTCTTGGCTGATGAAAGGCAAGGAAAGACCCTGTCACACACTGGAGGAGGATAACGTGATGTAAGGACTACATGCAATGTGGAATCTCAAGGCAGAAAAAGGACAGTTCGTAGGAGACACTTCGAATAATGTGCACAGGTTACCAAAAGTACTGTAACCATGATCATCTCCAGGTTTCCATAATTTTACTGTGATTACAGAATGTATCAACATCAAGAAAATCTGAGTGAAGGTCATATAGAGTTCTAAGTTTCTAGCAACTTTTCTGTATGTCTAAACCCTGCAAGATATTGGCACCGGCAAAGACTTCTTAGAAAAGACCCCAGAGGCACAGGCAGGCAAAGCCAAAATTAACTATTGGGATTGCATCAAATTGAGAAGTTTCTGTACTGCAAAAGAAACCGTCAGGAAAGTGAAGAGGCAACCGACAGAATGGGAAAAAACATTTGCAAACTATGCAACAGAGAAAGGATTAATAACCAGAATCTACAAAGAGATCAAGAAACTCCACAACAACAAAACAAACAACCCACTTAAGAGATGGGCCAAGGACCGCAATAGACATTTATCAAAAGAGGAAATCCAAATGGCCAACAGGCACATGAAAAAATGTTCAGGATCACTAAAGTACAAAGTTAAAAAATTCCCAGCAGCATTTTGCATGATTTGAAAATATCACTAAAAAGTAGTTTTTTTTTGTTTTTTTTGTTTTTTTTAATAAAGGCAGAGTTAGAGAGAGAGAAGTCTTCCATCTGCTAGTTTACTCCCCAGATGGCTGCAACGGCCAGAGCTGCACCAATCTGAAGCTAGGAACCGGGAGCTTCTTCCAGGTCTCCCATGTGGGTGCAGGGGCACAAGGACTTGGGCCATCTTCCACCACTTTCCCAGGCCGTAGCAGAGAGCTAGATTGGAAGTGGAGTGGCTGGGTCTCGAACCGGTGCCCATATGGAATGCTGGCGCTGCAGTTGGTGGCTTTACCCACTATGCCACTGCGCCAGCCCAAGACATCTTTTTTTCTGAAGTGTGCAGCTTAGAAAAATGCAGGTCTTGAAACAATGTACACGAAATATGGCCAATAGTATACCTGTGAATTAGTTCTGGTTTCTGTGTGCCTAATAATTTTCCTTTTCTACCACTCAGGACTGGTTCTGGCTAAATATTTTCTGTTTCTTTACCACTTTGATCAGTGCGTCAGCTGGGGCTCTTGACATTGTGGGATTCCTGGGGTTAGACCTCTGAGTGACAGATAAGGCCACTCAATCTTGCAACAGCTGTTCTGGGCTAAGAGTGAGAGGCAGGCAAACTTCATTGCCATATCTATTTTCTACTTTCTTTCTGGAATCATAGCTTCCTAACACTTAGGTGTTAGCTTTCTGTTACTTTAACTAAAATATCTGAGGGAAGCTTTTTAAAAAGATTTGTTCATTTATTTGAAAGGCAGAGTTATAAAGAGATCTAAAGACTTTCCACTGGCCCCACCTCCTAGCCACCATAATCTGATCTAAGCCTCTACCTTTAGCCCATCAACAATTAATGTGACTGAGATTTTTAAAAAGCAGTTTAGAGTCTGGCACTATGGTGTAGTGGGTAAAGCCGTTGCCTGCGGTGCCGGCATCCCACATGGGCACCAGTTCAAGTCCCGGCTGCTCCACTTCCAATCCAGCTCTGCTGTGGCCTGGGAAAGCAGTAGAAGATGGCCTGAGTCTTTGGGCCCCTGTATCACATGGGAGATAAACACCAGAAGAAGTGCCTGGCTTCTAGCTTCGGATCTACTCAGCTCTGGCCATTGTGGCCATCTGGGAAGTGAACCAGCAGATGGAAGATCTCTCCCTCCTACCCAGCCCCTGCCCCTGCTTCTGTAACTCTGCCTTTCAAATAAGTAAATCTTTTAAAAAGGCAGTTTAATTTTCATTTATTTATAAGGCAGAGTCATAGAGAGAGACATACAGAGAGCTTCCATCCTCTGGTTCACTTTCCAAATGCCCACAATAGCTGGGGCTGGAGCAGTCTGAAACCAGGTCTCCCTCATGGGTAGCAGAACCCCAAGTGTATCATCTGCTTCCCAGGGTGTGCTTTAACAGAAAGCTTGATCAGAGCCCGAAGTGGGACTTGAACCCACATACTCTGTGAGGTGTAGGCATCCCTAGAGGGGCTTATCCACTCTGCCACAGTGTCTGCCCTAGACTTTGAGGTTTAAATGGCTGCATGAGTTTGAGGATTCCAGTCCTGCTCAGTCCCTTGCAACCTACCTCTCAACTCTGACCAGTCTCTTCTTCGTTGTGAAAACTTTAACTGCACTTCATCCAAGTGTTACTCCTAGCTCTACTATTCTCTAGAAAATAGCAAAATTAACTCAAACGTGCAGGTGTTAACAAATGACGAAGCCTGTCTCAGTCATTCTCCCTCTCAAAAGATATTAGCACCTAGCAACTTCCTAGATGAATTAGAACAAATTTTACATTATGAGGCGGGACAACTAAGGGACTCTGGTGTTCTGGTTCTTGCAACTTTTGGGGATGAGGTTGCCTGGGCCTGGACATCTGAGGAAGTGCCAGTGGCAGAGCCAACATCTGACTCTCCCAGGGGAAGTTACACATTCCCTGTGTCTACTCCCATCATTTCCTCTGGAACTTAGAGTTGTCATGTTTTGATCTTGTTTTCAGATTAACCTCTGTTTGACTCTCTTCAAAGTCAGGCTTCAAAGGAAGCTCTTGGTATTTTACCAAAATCTTTAGGTACTTTGTAACTAGAAGACTGTACAATACTTTCATTGTAGACTAATCTAAATCACCTTCTAAATCATAATTACCATTATTTTATTTATAATTCCTAGGGTTATTTGGCATTTAAGAAGGTATTTAGTAATTATGACAGTTATTTAATAATCTCCATAAATGGCTACCAAGACATTTTCTCTTGCACAGTGAAGAGAATAAGACCTTTCATAGTTATTTACCCAGCATCCCCCAGAGCCTGCTTTCTCTGGTCTCTCCCTGCCAGTCTCTCAGTGCGTCTGTCTGCAGGAGGCTCTGAGCCTAGAGAGGCAGCCACAGGGGAGAGTCTCAGGTCATGATCAGCAGACCTGATGTCTGATCTAAAGAGCAGAGCTGGTAGAGCGACAGCCTTGCTCTGAGATGTAACCTGACAGAGACTGCAGTGGAAAACAGCCCTCCGCTCCCTTGCCCCAGCTTGATGCGCAAGCTTTCATCTCAGCCCTCTGTCACCTGCCTTGCCCACTTGTATCCCTCTTCCTGGATGGCACTCAGTGAGATTCTGGGTTCCTTTTTCTCTTTATTTCACTCCAGTTTTATTTTGACAACTTTATTGAGGCATAACTCACATACCATGAGACTCGCCCATTTCAAGTGTACAATTCAATGACATTTTTGTAAACTGATCAGGTTGGATAACCATCACCATCATCTAGACTATTTCCATCAGCCTGGGAAGATCCTTTCTTCCATTTAGTCTGTATTTCCACCTCCAGCGCCATGCACCCACTGATCTATGTTGTCTTTAATGAATTGCCTTTTCTGGACATCCTAAAAAAATGGAATCATCTTTGATATGTGTATCTGTGTCTGGCTCCTTTCACATGGCACATCCTTGAGGTTCATCAGTGACACAGATGTGTCATGTGCAGGTTCCTACTACCCCAAGCCCCAAACTCCCTTCAAGGCGCTATGAGCACCTTCTTTTTAAATACCTTCCTGCTCTATCCCAGGCATCCTAGAGTCAGTCCTCCATGTGGCTGTGAGTAGGGTCCCCCCATGGTGGTTTCACTTGGGCTGGACCACTGCTCTCCCCTACTTGTTCTCCTGGCTCCCCCAACCAGGCTTCTTGCTTTTCCTCCAATGGCCTGATTCCCACCCTCTTTGCCCACTGTCTATCCCTCATTCTTGGTTCAAGTGTAGCTTCCTGGAGGTGGTGCTCTTTGATCTACGTGGCTATGGTAGCATTCCTTTTCACAGACTGTTCAATGGCTCTTCCCAGCTGTTGCTTATTCCTGAATTAACGTTTTGTTTATCTTGCTAACAGATTAGCGGTTAAGCGTCTTAGCCTGTTGGAACTCCTATAACAAAATATCATAAAGCAGGTGGCTTATAAACAACAGAAGTTTATTTCTTCAAGTCTGGAAGCTGGCAAGTCCAAGATGAAGGCACTGGCTCATAGATGAGATCATCTTGCTGTGGCCTTACCTGGTGGAAGGGAAGAGGGCTCTATATTAGACGTGTCTTAGGAGGGCATTCATGCCATTCATGAGGGTTCTGCTGCCATGACCTAAGCTCCTGAAGACCCGCTTGCTAACACCATCACTTAGCCAGGAGGTTAGGCTTTAATTTCCATGAACTTTTTGAGGCTCTCGCATATAAATTTTGGGTAGACAACAGACATCCTGACCATGACAGAGTGCAGTGACCAGGGGCTGCTACGTTACTGCCCTGGCTGCCCACTTCCTGGCTAGGGAAACTTGAGCCTTTGCCAAATGAAATATTGGCAACTTCAGAGGTGACACAGTGCAGAACAAGGTGGCACAGGGTGCATGCTGAGCAAGACAAGGTGTCATCATCTGTTGCCTTCTCAGAGTGTCAACTGGATAAGCGCAGGGATCTTTCTGCATCTCTAGCCCCTGGACTAGGAATGGGTGCAGAGTGTGGCTCCGTGTTCCTCATTCATCCGCCTCATGTCTAACACCATTGGCTTTACACTTCTGACAATCTGATCTCTGCTTCTTTCCAGCCCATCCTTAACCCATCTTTTGAGTCTTGCGACTCCTTCTGGGCATTACCTATGGTGGTTTGCCCTGGGGACCTGCTGAGGTTGGCAAGGTGCCTGCCAAACATGACGAGACTGGCCACAGGCTCCCTGAGCTGAAAGTAAACCTGTTCACACTGGTAGCACCATTTGTGTATAGCGGCTGGAACCTTGGTGCAGTGTTCAAGAAACATGATTAACTGCAAGGTTTTGCAACATCCTAGGTATGTACACATTAAATGGCCTACCTGTGATTTTATTTTACAAAGCTAACAAGGGTTCTGTGGTGTGTTCAGCAAGGTCCTGGCAGGAGACAGTTGGACCACCTGTGTAATGTGCTCAGCTTTCCCCGCAAAGCTCCACAGACCAAAGAAAGACGGAACTGAAGGGCAGAGCACACAGGACAGGTGGCGTCACACAGAGATTTCCTGAGAGCTCAATTCTTGCTCCCAGTGCTTAACATTTAAGAGATGTGTTGGTGGGATCAGTTGTCCTGCTAAAATCTAGGTCAGAAATGGTTGGAAGAGAGCTTAGAATCGGAGGCCAACTATATGCTGGGCATGTAGCAATCTACTCCTTTATTTCTCATCCTCACCGGTTACTGAACGGCTGAGTTGGGATTTGCATGCAGGCCTGGCTGACTCTCCTGGAGATCAAGGGTTCTACGCCGTACTTCTACTCTCTGCTGTTGAGGAGGAGACCTCAGTGGGAAAGACTGGCTGGCTGTGCAAGCTTGAAAACGCTCCAGACCAAGTGGGTACAACTCAGTATTCTGTACCCACAATGGCCCTTAGTCTGAGGAACAGGCTGCCTTTGGCTTAACTGTGCAGCTGAATTTTACTGTTTTGTTTAATTTTTAAACTAAACAGTTTTTGGCCACACTACTAAGAAGTACCATGGCAGTTAGCTGGTGGCAGCACTCGTCTGAGGGTGAGGTCATCAGTGTCTTGGCATGCACTGGCTACCAGTGTAGACTTGTTCTCCAGGGGGGTCTCAGTGAATCAGTGTGCATTGCCAGCTGCATTATGTACAGTACTTTAACAGCATTAGAAAACAGGATTCTAGAAGAGCAAAACAAAACCATGGGGCCACACTTCAACTGTGCTTGGTTTGTAGTCATGCACAGAAGATGGTGTCTGATTTTGAACTACAACTTGAGGAGTGGAGAGAGTGTCTGAGGAACACAGACATGCACAATTTGGAAAAGAGGACTTGCAAAAGTACAAGTGATTAGAATAATGAAGTAATCTTTTAGGCTACTTTATATAAGGATATTTTATACAAAATAGATGGTTAATTATTTTCATCATATCTGATAAAGTAAGACCAAGAAAACCATTTTTGTCTCATAAATTAGATTAGCATTTCCTAAGCCGATACCCCAAAGGAACATTGCAAGCAAGCTTTTATGGACAGAGCTTTAAAGAATGGTGTAGCTTCTAAATGCTTCTTGGGGAGGGTGATGGGCCTAGAATAAGCCAAACTTTTTTATGTATTGATTATTTCTACTTCCAGGAAGTGGCCCATGGTGGGGAAACAGTTTGGGAAATGTAGGAATTCCTGGCCGGAAGATCAGCTTGGACAAATGCATCTGTTGGAACGATTCACTCACCTGATCCCTTAGTGTCAAATCCAATGTACTTGGATTTCCAGGAATACTTTGTAACCAATTTAATACTGACAGAGAGGTGAGTTAACTTTAACTTTGCAATTTTTACAGGAGGCATCCAAACCCAAAGAGTGCCAGATCAGATCCCAGCTGCCTGAGTGACGTGTACTCGGACAGCCCCGCCACCAAGAGACACGGGAGCTGGGAGGGTGAACACACCTTCTTGTCGGTGCTCATGTTCTCGAACTTAATTGTTTGGAAACTGATGTGTTGCATAAATCTTACCCCCACAGTAAACTATATTTCTGGAGTTGCCCCCCTCAATGCAAAGGAACCAGAAATACCTGCCCCCCCACTTCTTAAACAGCACGTATCAGTATTGCAAAGAAGTCTCTTCATGAGAGGAGTTCTCACGTTTATTTAAAGATATATAGGTTACGGTTATAGAAGCAAATTTCACTGAGTTGTTAAATACGAAGGATGCCTGACTACGGCCCTTAATTCAGCAATCTTGTAGTCACACTGTTGTTTGTTGCCATTTAGCTATTTATCCAAACATGCCTTTTGTTTGCTTTTTTAAACATGTGCCCAGATAGGGTGGAAAAAAGAAACACCAAGGACTTGTTTAAAAGGAGAAGCCTGAAAAAGATAAAATTCCCATGGCAGTTCTGTCCCACTGTAGTCTGTGTGCAGGAACAGTGTTCACAGGGGGAAGCCATACGCCCAGTGGTTTCTCCGTCTGAATGGTGTAAAAGCCCTTGAGGTTTTCTGTGGCCGTCAGGAGGGAGCGGGAAATTCCATTTACTGAATCCAGTCAATGTTCAGGCACCGTGCTATGAATGCGAACATATCTGAGACTTCTTCTATCACTTTGGCCGTGGGCTTCCCTGCCCCGTGGCCCGCTTTGGTGTCCACGTGGATGAGCAGGGGGTTGCTTTGCTTCTGGCTGCGGCCCACGATGTACTGAAGGGTGGCAATGAACTTCAGGGAGTGGAGGGGGACCACCCGGTCATCGTGGTCGGCGGTGAGGAGCAGCATGGATGGGTACTGAACGTCCTCTGCCTCGGGTAACCTCACGTTGTGCAGCGGAGAATACCTGAAAGGCACAGGTGCAGTCGTGAGGCTGGATCTCAAAAGCCGAGCTGTTCCGGGGGAGACGCCAGGAGGACTGTGTGGCACGGGCACTCGGGCAGGTGGCCATCCTACCTCCACTAGCAAGGAGCTGGCAGCTAACTAGTCCCTGAGTGCTCATGGCGAGGACTACCGGGAACCTTTGTCGTTTATGTGCATAAGAAAAGAAATTCGGGCCTGTTGAAATGATCCAAACTATGCATATGCCCTGTCTTATTTTGGTGCAGAAAGTTCATGGAAAAATGCATATTATGAAAAAAAAAAACAACCATGCATGGATTTTTGCCAAAATAAACTGAGCTTTGAATTTTTCAGAAACTTTCTGAAGTACCCCTCATGCATTTTACCAGAGTGTGTCCATGAAGCTATTTGCATTAAAAAATGATAGCTTTCAGACTGAACTTTTATTCCCTGTAGTTTTGAAAGTATTGAGTTTTTTTTTTTTTTATAGCTGCCACTTTAACTGAATTTCTAAGTGGCAAGCTAGCCATGAAATGAAAAAGAAAAAAGAAAAATTAATAATTAGAAATTTTGATAAAAATTTGAATTCTAACACTAAGAAAGAGGACACGGGCCTCTTGTGCTAGTCCAAGGGTTATTCCCACACATGGGCAGAAACGAGAGAGCTACAAAGAGAAGTTAAAGGACTATCGTTTACCCCATTATTCACAAAGGAGCTGAGAGTTACAAAAGAGCCCTGTGATATTTCAGTAATGCAGCTCATACTTCAAAAAGTTTATGAAAAATAAAACTAAATGATAAGTTTATTTTGATGAACAAGTTTTGAAATCCATGCATAAACCTTTTCAAGACCCCTTGTATTTTTTGCACCAAAGTAAACTTATCTTTGGTTTTCCCATGAACTTTTTCATGAATATGTAGTTGTACTGAGAGTACAAAATACATTTAAAAAGAGGAATATATGGAAGCACAGCTAAGTTCCTTATTTCTTAATTTAGAAAAGGAAAACACACAAAATGATGCATTTTTGCATTCATTTTTGATTACAGCACTAACAAATTAGGGCAAATTTAGCAGCTGAGAATTTATGTCCCAACTCTGAAAGTCAGCAATATGGTTCTCTGCTCTGGGCCTCTCAAGGCCAAATCAAGGTGTTGGCTGTCTGGGTGCTTACCAGGGAGAAAAACACGTCTCCCTCCAAATGTTGATTGGGGCTTCTGGAGGTCTTGTCTTCCCCGAATGCCCTCGTGGCTACACCCCAATTCCACCCAGAAAAGGTTCCCTGCATCACGGGTTTCTGGGATTGGCCTGGGACCAGTTGGATGATGCAGGACAACCTCAGTATTTGAAGGGCAGCTGCCTGAAAGCAGGCATTTCATCTGCAGAGCCCGTCCCGGCAGAACCTGCAGGACCGACCGACTGCAAGGGGACAGCAATCCTTGGAAGGCTGCCTGTGAAATCTACGTAGTTTGCTGTTTTTGTTAAAGACTGGATTAAAACAAGGAAGGACAGGTAGGTTTTCCTATCTCATCTCCAACTTTTGGAGTAAATTATATGCAAATACAAGACACTGAAGAGGCCAAAGCGGCAAATTTTAACCCTGTTGACTATGTTCAATTTGATATCAAGCCATTAACAAGGTATACACATCCAGATGAATTCAAACCTTACTTGATAAGCCATTCGAAGTGCTGCTTGTTCTCTGAGCACCCATAATCGGTGGTCCAGGCATGCCCGATGGTGTATTTATGGAACTTCAGCATGTCCATCACTCCAACTTGGGCAATAACACATCCAAAGAGGTCAGGACGCTGATTTGCACAAGCAGCTAAAAACCAAGACAGAAAGAAAATCCTATCATCCTGCATCAGAATAGAACAAAACTACACGTAAACGCCTTCAGGACCCTGCTTGCCATTATCCTTAGGGCACAGGAAGAAACCATCAGATATCCCCTGCCCAATGGCCCAGAGGCTGGCCCACTGCACCCCATGTCCACATCCAAAATGTCTAAGGGCTGGGACTGCATCAGCCCTGGTTTTTTTTTTTTTTTTCCCCTGACAGGCAGAGTGGACAGTGAGAGAGAGAGACAGAGAGAAAGGTCTTCCTTTTTGCCGTTGGTTCACCCTCCAATGGCTGCTGCAGCCGGCACATCGCGCTGATCCGAAGGCAGGAGCCAGGTGCTTCTCCTGGTCTCCCATGCAGGTGCAGGGCCCAAGCACTTGGGCCATCCTCCACTGCACTCCCTGGTCACAGCAGAGAGCTAGCCTGGAAGAGGGGCAACTGGGACAGAATCCAGCGCCCCGACCAGGACTAGAACCTGGTGTGCCGGCACCGCAGGTGGAGGATTAGCTTAGTGAGCCGTGGCGCTGGCCAGCCCTGGGGTTTTGATCCCCCAAGGTGAGTCTCCCTGGGGGAGCATTACTTGGGATGCTCACGGAATTTCTGAAGGATGTGTGTCCCCTCCCTTGCTTTCACAGGTCAGTCCTGGATCTCAGTACCAGCCCAGGGTAGAATAGGGTATGAAACACAGCTGAGAGCTCTGACCAGTACTGGCACATCTTGTTCTGTTTGTGAGGGTGGGAGGGTAGGAATCTGCACTTCTAAAGTAAGCACTCCAGCAAATGGATAGGGCCATTCCATCTCAACAGGCATAAGGAAACTCCTGAATATAAGCTTCCAGAGAGACAAAGCTGTCCCTGGATGAACACGGATATCGTAACACAGTTTTCCCATTATTCAAAGAGGGGAGATTCTCCATATCCTTTGCCATTGAATCTTGGATTCATCATTGATTCTTGCCTTTTTCTTACACCTCACATTGTAATCTATGAGCTTCAATTCAAAGCATGTCCAGAAGGTGATCACTTCTCACTACCTCCACTGCCCCACCCTGGCTCCCAGTAACTGGAGAGTTCTGCTTCTCTTCCCCTCTGTCTCACATCGCAGCCAGCACAATCCTGTTAAGAGAGAAGTCAGAGTCCCAGGCTGGCTGTGGGGCTCTCTCTGTGCAAGCCTCCCAACACCTACCCCTGCCACTCGCTGGACCCGGCCATAGACAGGGACCTCTCGCTCAAAAACTCCATCTATTTCACTCACCAATATGTATGCCCAATATCTGGAAAAATGCCTGGTACTTCTTGGTGTTCAATACATATTTGTTGAATAAATGGACCTATTTGTTACTTGATAACTAATAATTATATCAGTACCCTTTCTAAATTTATATGATTTTGGACATCTGCATTTTGTTTCTCTAGGGATTTTTCTTAAGGCAAAGAGTAAGAATAGGTGGAGGTTTTGCCATGACTCAGCATGTTTCAAAGACAAGAACAAGTGAATGGCTGGCCTCCAATCCCTCCCTCCCAACAGTGGACTGGAAAACCTGAAAATTGTCAAGTGAGTGTTTTGAGTCTGTGTATGCTGTTCTGTGCCTCTACAGTGGCCCCTCCCATCCTCACAACATAAGATATAGGACTCAGCAAGCCACATTCAGGCTCACTATAGATATTTGTTAAGTGCTACTGAGGAAAAAAAAAAGTAAAATTTTACTAAGTACTCTAAGTCACCCTCTATGCAATGGGGATGACAACAGCACCCGCCTTAAGAGGCTGTTTGCTTGGGGGTGGGAACCACCCTTACAGGCTGTCACTGTTAAACTGTGGGTCCATCTCTGTGGGCAACTATCTCATTTCTCTGCACCCATGGCATTTGGTATCACATGGCATCTATGCAAATGTCGAGTGATGCTTGCATCTCCCTAGTTCTGAGTAACACAGAGGTGTTGTCCGGCTCAGTCCTGCACTTGCCGAACCCCAAGAACCTGTGGATCCAATTGCAGGGGGGAGAACTCTGAGCAGGTGCTGGGACAGCATCTTGTGCTGTCACAAGTGGTCAGTATGACATGGGTTCAGCTGTCTACGTGTTGTTTGTCAGATGCCCAACCACGTATTTCTCTGGACCACTGTTCCAATCCCAGGTAAACTGCAGCTGCTGACAGACTACCTGAAAACCACAGGGGTGTTAACTAGTGAGCACAACGAGTAAAAGCCAGCTCTCACCCACTAGGAGGCCTCCATTTGACCCTCCATTGATAGTCAGCCTCTTGGGAGACGTGTAACCTTCCTTAACCAGATACTCCGCGGCACACTGGAAGTCATCGAAGCAGTTCTGTTTGTTGGCCAAGATACCACCTGCAATGTGCCCAAGTGAATGACAGGTTAAACTCAATTTTTATGTTAATTAACTAACAGGAGTTCAAAATAATGACAGGGCATAGTTTCAACTATTGATTTGCTTAAAAATAATGGGCTAACACTACATTGAAGCATGTCTTTAAATACACATTTTATTATGCACTACAACTGCTAATCCCTATCCAGGGCTTTTTTGAAGAAACCCCCTAGAACTTGAAAGGCATTTGCCCCCAAAGGAACAGCTGATCTGTGCAGTGAGAGAAGCACAAGAACAGAAGCGTGAAAGCATATAATCAAAAAGTCTATGTTGGAGAAGCTGAACTTAAAATAGAAACAAGACCTCCAGTGGTGTCCAGTGCTCCACGTTCAATGCAGCCAGAGCCGGTGCCGGGGGCTGCACGGGCGGGCCCTCCCCGTCAAGACGCAAGCGCTCTGCGCAGCTGCACTGCTCACCCAATCCTCTTTGCAGGGGTTGGAAATGGGTAAGTGAAGAAAAGAAATAAATGCTCGAGCTTCGCCCTGGGCTACTGACTTCACTAACGGGAATAGGGTGGTGAGGTGGTACTGCAGGTCACCGCGGTAGAGAGAGAGCTCAAGCGTCTCCCTGGGGAACCTGGGCTTGCCCCTCGGTAAGTCACTCCAATGCATTAAACCAACCAAAGGGGGAAACAGTTACAGGGGCTTGGGATAGCCAAAGGCATGTCCTCAAAGGAATGGATGTCTGAAAGGACTGCCTCTGAAATGAACAAAAGCAGACACAGATCTATTAGATATTTCAGCTTCTGCTGAAATTCAATTAAAGATGAAGCAGTGCTTCATAGTAAAATATTAATAACATTTGTTTTAATAAGAAATTATTGGTGAATTAGAACAGCTAGGATTACTTAGTTTCCAGGAATAATATCATTTGGGTCTGTGACTATATTTTTAAAAGAGCATTAAATTTTAAACTCAATTAATAGAGTTTAGATTCATCAGTGTTCCATACATGAGGCTATAATGGGAAAGGTCTATTTCGGGTCCTTTCCCTGTCTGATTTTTTTTTTAATTTGAGAAAGACAAACAGAGCTCCATCCACTGGTTCACTCCATAAATGCCAGCAACAGCTGCACTCGGCTGGGTTGAAGCCAGGAGCCTGGAACACAATCCCTATCTCCCACGTGGGAGGCAGGAACCCAACTACTTGAGCCATCACTGCTGCCTCAACAGGAAGTTGGAACCAGGGGCTGCGCGGGCAGCCTAGCTTAACCACTAGGCCAAATGTTCACCTCTCCCACCCTGAAGTTTGAGAAAGTCTCTGACTCAAATGGTCAACCTTTAGACTTCATCAAGCTCCATTTTGCTGTTCCAGGCTTTTGTACAGTGAGTTGGTTTTAGAAAAACTGAGCCCATCCAGGTCATGGCATCTTCCCCAGCAGAACACGGCTGGGGGGCACCTGCTGACTACAAAGGTTCTTTCAGGAAGGGGCCTGGGGATCCACACTCTCAGCTTGAGTGTGCACAGTGCATACAATTTAAACAGGAAATCAGGTGAGTTGAGGGGCCTAGACTTAAGGCAGCTGTTTGGGATGTAATTCAAACATGGGAAAATGTTATTATTTAATCTCCTTTTATCAGTCATCTTTTAGTATCCCACCTTCACAGTTGGTTTTGGTATAATTAAAACTCTCCTATGAAGTCAAAATCATACAATGAACTGTATGCAGTTTCAAATGTGACACTAACTGATCAAGTCTGGGGACAGCGACCTGGTGATGGCAGGTCATCATGTGTTAATATAAGAGCTTCGCTCGGGCTTGAGTAGATTACTGTCTGATGTCAGCCCTTGGAGTGCCCACTGGATGTCCAGGGGTCAGGCCTGGGCCTGTCCTGTACCTTGAGACCTCCCAGTTGTTTATAAAAATCCCCGTGTTGTTTTGTAAAAGAACAAGCGGAGGGTGCTCTCTGGGGCTGCCAGAATGGGCCAACCCCAAGCACTGGTGGCCACCTTCATCCTGGCAGCCCTGTTACAGGGGAGCGTGGGGGACTGCAAGGGGGGGTGCTTGCCACATCTTCCTCCTCAGGCACACAGCACCCAGGCAAGGGAAGAAGGTCTTCTTCAAACCACTCGCAAGTCTATGAGTTCAATTTCGGTCACACTAAAAGCCTGGGCACCCAGCACGTAAAGAAACAAAGAGGCAGGGCTTTAAAATCAAGATGAACATAAAACACATAAAAAAGCCAAAAAAAAAAAAAACCAAACAAAAAAAAAACCCACATGACACTGACCATCTGGGGTATGAACCCATGCTGCCAGAGGCCAGAGGTGGAAAGGCACTAAACTGCCCCCCCCCCCCCAAAGTGAGTGTGCCCTTGTGTCTGAACCTGCACACTAGAGTCACAGCAGCAGGGCTGGGAACAAGACGCCGCCCACACTGGGAGCAGGAGAGCTCAGAGATGGTTTCCTCTTAAAAGACAATGACTGCTTCGCATTCTGTTTCCAGACAGCCTTGTTACAGGTTAGCACCATGCGGCTACGAGGAGACAGAGTAAGCACTACAAAATTCTCAACAATCGCTATGAAAAACGCACCCCGTGTGTGAAGGGAAGAGTGAGTTGTTTTTAAAGGGGGAGTGGTGCCTGCGCTGTGTCTGCAAATATCCTTATTTGTCTCCTCAGAATGCTTCTCTGCTCTTCACGCCTTCAGCTCATTTGAAAAGGAAGGCTTGGCACAACGTCTGGTTTCTGTGAACATCCTACCTTTATGCCACGTCTCTCCGTATTCGCCGCCGCCTCTGATGTTGGCCACTGCAAGGACGCCACCCATGTGCCTCACGAAAATAAGCCTGGACACACTGAGAAACAGTGGACACAGTTACCCTTCTGTCACCCACCTGATAAGGACCATGTTGTTTGTCTTTACCGAAAAAAAAAAAAAAATCCCTGGAAATTCTCAGTGAGTAATAGCATCTAAAGAGGAGCCAAATATTACTTGATTAATGTCTGACTGCAAAGCTCATACATTTTCATGAGCATTCAATATGTCTCACTTTCCTATACTGGAAATATTTCACTATGCAATTCATAATGCAAATAGAGAACAAACCAGAGGCCCTCATTTCACAGTGAATCTATCTCTCAAACAAGTGTCTTGGCAAAGAAAACACTGTCAGCCCGGACGTGAATGGCACTGGGCTAGCAGGAGCAACCAGTGCTGGCCCTGGCGTCCTTTCTTTGGGCAATGCTCTCTGAACATTCAAGCTGGAAAAAGCAAGCCAGCTCTTTACAGAGCACGGCTTTTAAACATAGCTTCTAGTTCTCAGTAATTTAGCTGTTAAATGAGACAACCCAGAGTGTGAAAGGTCAATGAGATCAAGGACAGAGTTCTCAGGGCTGGAGATACTTTCTAGAAACAAATACAAGAAACTAGCACACAGCCTCTTGGGAAGGTATGAGGTCCTTCAGAAATTTGTTTATCCCTTCCTCCATTCCACTGTGACCCTAGAAGTGTGGACATTTTTCTATTTGCTGTTAGTTAACATTACTTTTGAGAACTATTTCTGGGAATTTTATTTTTCTCCCATTGCAAGCTTGATTTTCACAAGGGCCTCTGCGAACCTGAGGCCCTGAATGGTTGGGTGCTAATATCCTGAGGCTCAGGGGTGAAGAGGAGAGAAAGGAAGAGTGGGAGAGATGCATCAGTCCATACAACTACACCCAATTCCCATCATTCCGAGGGTCTCTCCTGAAATTACTACCCACTGGGCCTGGGGATGAAAATGGTCCAGGAGCTCATCTCTTTATTCCCAATAGTTCAGGTTTAATAAATCCTTGTTGCACTATGAACAAAGGCAAGAGGTTTTTAGCTGCTGTAGATCCACTCAAGAATCACTACTGTCTTGATCCCAGCCCCCTGCTGGGACCAAAGGGATGGGGCTCAGGTGCAAGTCTCTCCTTGTTTATTAGAGGAAGCAGGTGTTCATTGTTCCTGCACGCAAGTATCCCTGTGCACTGAAACTGAGCCTCTAACTGTACCCCTTGGAATGACAAAGGTCAGAAAACAGTGGCATATTTTTCGTGTAAGGATGAATCTAATGAAGCAACATCCACTGGCTTGGATTCTTAGACTAATAATCTCAAGGAATGCATACGGTATATGGTTTCTACCACACAGATACGGATGTATTAATGAGACAACACATCTCATTGCTTGGGGAACTCTGGAAAGAGATGGGAAGCCTGACTGTGGGCTGCTCTCTCCCACCCAGGGTTCAGGCCATGCCTGGAATGGTGTCTGATATATGGCACTGCCAGTGTAGAATGAATAGCCATCGCTATGACACTCTCCTAACTAGTTTCCCTGCAGTTTACTCCTATGATGACAACACACAATGTTCCAAAAATACCTCTCTACACTTCATGATTTCACACAAGGCCTTGCTAACTAAAGGATGAAACCAAACTCTTCAGCCAGATGGCTTAAGGCAGCCCATAATTTGGTTCTAAACCATTTGAAGGCAGGGACCAATTTTCATATTAAATCTAGTATTTTACGGACAGCGAGTGCTCAAAACCAAAGAATAGTTTCCTTGTATTCAACTCTGGAACAGCTGGTGGGATCTGTTCTGCATTTATGTCCTGTAGTCACCAGTGCATGCGTCTGGTTCTGATTAGGAAAGCTCCTGGGTGGAGCGGTGGCTCTGATCTCCTATGAGGCTCTCTTCAGAAGATGGCTTAGAGCTGGTGTTACTACTAGGAAATCCCCCTCCCTTTTTTTTTTTTTATTTGACAGAGTCATAGAGAGTGAGAGAGACAATGAGAAAGGTTTTCCTTCTGTTGGTTTACTCTCCAAACGGCCGGCGCTGCGCCAGTCCAAAGCCAGGAGCCAGGTGCTTCCTCCTGGTCTCCCATGTGGGTGCTTGGGCCATCCTCCACTGCCCTCCCAGGCCATAGCAGAGAGCTGGACTGGAAGAGGAGCAACCGGGACTAGAATCCGGCACCCATATGGGATGCCGGCGCCGCAGGCGGAGGATTAACCAAGTGAGCCACGGTGCCAGCCCCGGGAATTCCTCGTTTTTAAGTATTGACAATGCCAAAGGAAATCCCATTTTGTAATAGGAATGGGATGTTAAAATCAAGCTTGCAAATACCTAATAGAAGATATTCATATAAACAACATCAAATGTATACATGTAGATTTTTCTCCTGAAAAAGAAGTTATCTGGGAAATAATCACAGTAACGGTGTAGAAAAGTTTAAAATTAAGGAAGTAATAGAATATTCAGAAAATATAGTTGCAATTTAACGTTAAGACAATAAGACTTTGTAAAAAATATGATCATTAAAAGAATCATTCCCTCTGAATACCATGGGTAGTGGGGTGGTGGAAAGTGACAAACATTTAAAAAAGATTCCTTCATGATCTCAGCTCATATTGATCTTCTGGACCCTCAACAGCTAGTTCTTAAAGAACATATTCTACTGGGGACTCTCTTTGTTAATAAGATTAGTTTGTCATGATCTTGCAATTCCTGACCAAAAATTCAGAGAGTAAGCACATCATCCTATCCTTACATGGGAACATCAGAAGCCGGGATTTAGCAACCAGTCGCTAAATCAAATACACGGCAACATTCCAAGAGTGTTCCATGCTTACCTGTAATTGGGTGTGATAGAAATGTTGAAGCCACCATAGCCATATAAGAAGGCAGGATGAGAGCCATCCAATTTTATGCCCTTTTTATGTACAATGAACATGGGAATCTTTGTACCATCCTTGCTAGGGTAGAAAACCTAGAACAAAAGGAAGCAGAGATGTAGAGTTAGTAGTACTTAGTGAATACATGCATGCTTTCAAATGGGAAAATATGTGGGTAGCAAATTCTTCAGGATGTTCTGTAACATGATGACCGACCATCTAATGTCACTAAACAGCTAGTGGATGGTGAAGCATCTTTCAGTTTTTACGGAGACGGGGTAATGAAAAGAACATGGGTCTGCAAGTAGGGGGATCTGGATAAGAATTCTTATTCCACAGCTATCCAGGTGGGTGCCCTTGGGCAAAGTGTTCATGCTCCCTCAGCCTCGGTTCCTCATCCGCACAATGCAGCCATCATGCCCACATCTTTCCCGAGACACAGAGAAGGGAACAGCCATTCCGTTCTTGCAGCCACTGCTCAGCTCTCCCAGATTTGGCCATCCTGCCAAGCAACTCAAACTAGGTAAACTTCTCTTCTAGAAAAACAAATGTCATATTCCACTTCACCTCTAAGTGTTAAGACACTCAGCACATTGCCATTTTTCTATGTTCAGCTAACAAACAAATGTTATTAGAACAACAACAACATATTTGCTTTGAGAGTTGATGAGAAACAGCAGAGAGAGCCCATTTTTCCTGGCAATACAAAGATATTTTCTTCGGTATTGATAATTAAGGCTCATCAAATCTTCCTGAATCTGGGCAATGCAGGCGAATTCAGTCACCATTTCCATATTCATTACTTTTGGATAAAGGATTAAGAGAAAATGGATAAGGAAGGGAACAGTAAATGCTATTGAGGCGATAAAGCCATAGAATAAATGATAAGCCGCAGAAAGCTGATAAGGGTTTCTTCCAGACAGAAAAGCTGTAAATAGCCTTTTCTTTGGGTAAACAGTGTCGTTACCCTAACTGATGCAGAAAGGGCCCAGCTCAGAAACGTCTTGCTCCGACGTTGCTGACAAGGGTATATGCCGTTCACTTGCACACAGTGTGACACTTGACATCCACGGCTGTTCACGGCAGCAGCTCTGTTATGGGAAGCTGCCACAAAGTCCTTGGAAATAAACCCTGGGGCGGGAAGGGGAGAGTGGGCAGACGATGCACATTTAGAGATGCCCGATATGAGACCAGCACAAACGCCCGTGAGAAATTGCAGTATAAACAGCATTTGTCTCTGACTTTGGAGGGAGATGCTGAGAGAGAGATGAAACCTGCAGTGTAGGGATCATGGAAACCACTCCACGGAGTCCAAAGCTGTCTGAGGGAACATGGTATGAAAGTTACTCAGTGCCAGTTAGTAGCTACTTAACAGAATGGTGGGTGGGTGGGTACAAGCAAGTACAGAGTAGGAGAACAAGCTTCAGGTGATTGGCTGGGGCTAATAAGCTAAAATACAGGGCCTTCAACTCAGAGCTGGGCAGGATCTGGAGCTTTGTAACCACAGAGGTTGACAGTATCAGGGCAGCAAACTGTCTGACATGATGTCACCTTAACTGAACCATCTGCTAAAAAAAAAAAAAAAAAAAAAAAAAAGCAAACCAGTGTGCCCTCCAGCTCCTCCATCCATTCCCAGCTCTATTCCCTTCGTCTGACAGGGCATCCTCCTCTGACAGCACAGTTCCTTGGAAGGCAGCACCAAAGAAGCACAGTCTCCTTTATGCCCGCAGTTGCAGGAACACATTCAAGATCTAAGCTGGTGTGGTTCTGATGGTGTTAAAAGAACATTTTGAGGGGCCGGCGCTGTGGTGTAGAGGGTAAAGCTACCACCTGTAGTGCTGGCATCCCATATGGGTGCTGGTTCGAGTCCTGGCTGCTCCACTTCCAATCCAGCTCTCTGCTATGGCCTGGGAAAGCAGAAGATGGGCCAAGTCCTTGGGCCCCTGCACCTGTGTGGGAGACCCAGCGGAGGCTCCAGGAGGCTTTGGACTGGCACAGCTCCAGCCGTTGCAGCCATCTGGGGAGTGAACCAGCAGATGGAGGACCTCTCTCTCTCTGCCTCTCTTCTGTCTATGTGTAACTCTGAGTTTCAAGTAAATAAATAAATCTGTAAAAAAAAAAAAAAAAAAAAAAAAAACACTCCTCCAAAAGGAATACTTAAAAAGAAAAAAAATAACATTTTGAATACTGTCCCAAAGTGAAAGGGGCATTTGTGGAGATGATTTTATTGTGGTCAAGAAAACTAACAAGAAGGCTAACATACACACTGCACACATGCACACATCCAAAGGATCTTCCCAAAGCTCATGGAAAAGGTGTGCTATGAAAACTATGCATGGGCTGCATGGGGGGGGGGGGCACCAAAATAGTTCCAGCTTTCTACAAGCTTCTTAAGTATGCACACACACCCCCTACCTTTCTGCAAGAGCTACACTCACAGCAGTATTTTGTGTCACTTCCATTTATGGAATGGCAGTTGTTACTGGAGCTACATTGGATTTTGCAACGAAAGGGAGACTGAATGCTCAGTCTTTTGATAACTGTGGAAGGAGTCCATGTGGGCCTTTTGGAAATGGTGATTAAAAACAGCCTAGGTGTGGGGCCAGCATGATGCGATGAGTTAAGCCTCTATTTGCGACACCAACATCCCAAATCAGACTGCCAGTTCAGGTTCTGGCTCCTCTGCTTCCTATCCAGCTCCCTGCTACAGTGCCTGGGAAAGCCACGGATGATAGCCCAAGTACCTATGTCCCGGCCACCCACATAGGAGACCCAGGTGGAACTCTGGGCTTCTGGCTTCAGCCTGGCCCAGCCCTTGCTGTTATGGCTATTTGGGGAGTGAACCAATGGATGGAATCTCTCTCTCCTCCTCTCCCTCCCTCTCTCTCACACTGTCGCTCCCCCTCTTCATGGAGGAACGACACAGGACCCTGCGCTGTTCTTTCGTCTGCTCGGCCCTTCCGGGTTGGCTGCCGGTCCTTCTACCTCCGTGGAAGGGCGGTTCCCCCTGCCACTTTCCCCACTTCAGCGGAGGAGTGGCACACCGCCGGCCGGCTCTCTCGGGGGCTGCTTAGATGTTCCTGGTGCATGTTGTCTCTCTCCTCCTTTATAGTCCTCTTCCACCAATCCCAACTCTGCTACCCACACACCAAGTACGCTGCTCTCCTCCAATCAGGAGAGGATCAGCTCCTGCAGGTTATTGGTCGAACTGGAGGCAGCTGTGTAAAAGTTGTTTGTTTACTCCTCTCCCAGTGCCATATTGTGGGAGAGCAGATGCATAGAATTAAGTCTTAATTTCAGTAACTTAGTCTAGTCCGAGTTGCTCCCCACATCACACACTGCCTTTCACGTAAATAAATCTTAAAAAAAAAAAAAAAAGTGTTTTTCATCATGCACTTCCTAGATTGTTTACTTAAACAAAACTGGCTGCCTCTTGAAGCCACTTGCTTCAAAGCTTTTAGGAGGATTTGAGGACCTGCGAGGTTAGGAGCAGAAGTGAGTAAACTCCTTGTTTCCATCTGCTTCCCAAACCTGGCCAGAAAGCCCCATGTCACAGCCTACGCTGGAGGTCTTTACACCTTGCCAGCGGGGCCGACCGACACATCTGGTCAGGAGTTTCACAAGCTTTATCCCCTGAGGTTGTGATTAAGCCTGCAGATGTGGCACATTGCCTCGATACCGTGGCAGGTGGATTTGGGCACATTTCCTCTGTCACTCCCTTTGCACTCGCCCATTAATGTCAGTGAGGTCCAGATCGTTCCCCTCAATCCCTGACAGTTTCAATATGGGACTCTCTGATTTCATCACTAAAGTCACAAAGAAAAGCAATGACCAATGACATGTCAGCATCCTGACCTTGAATGCCTCAGTATCAGATCTTCATTTCAACCCTTCCCTAACCACTGGCTCATTCCACAGTCTGCTGCACCTGTTATGGGTCAGGCACTGCGCTAAGCATTGGAAAAGTAAAAGATGAGCAAGACCTGCGCACCTGCTATACCAAACGCAGCCATCACTTTGCCCCTAGAGCCTGAAACTCTTCAGAGAAGTTTAACAGGCCCCCTCCCTGGTGACCCCGACTGGTTCTTTCACTGCCTCTTTCCTTATGCCTGGGGTATCTGTCCGTATTCCTTCTTCACTGCTATGATGATGTCCAGTCCCTTATATGATCTCTGAGCATCTGTTCGTACTCTTGCCCAGCTTGAGATATCTGGACAGCCCCGTAAATGTCCCTAATGCCCCAAATCTCTAATTCTAACCCTAACCCAGAGGGTTCCTTCTCTCCCCACATGTCTGGTCACTCAGAAAATGCCACTCCATTCCAAGTTACATACATCTGAATTCAGCTGGGCTGTGCTGTCGCCCCTCTCCCCACAAACGAATTCCTGTGCCTTGCCCTTCCTATGTGTCTCCTTACATCCTCCCCCCAAATCAATTCCACAGCAGCCATCTGCAAGGGTTTCCATTTTCCGCCACTCACTGCACCATGCCCTACCATGTCCACCTGTGTGGAGTTCTCAAAACACCCAACACTCCACTCATCTGCAGCCCCCAAGAGGGATGGGTCACCCAGCCAGTTCCCTTCCCCACTTCCTGAGCCATCACGTTCTCCCAATCACAGCCATTGACAGTTTTTGCATCTTTTTCTCTCTCCCCCTTGCATACAGACTCAAATTTCTCCAGTCCTATAGAACAATGAAACCTGCATCGCCCTATCTACTCCTTAAGCTGAATTCCCATTTTCCTCTTCGTCCCTGATCCAACTGACCCACAATAACTTACGCCCATTGCTCACTGCTCTCCTCCTGTGTATTCTGTTGCCACCACTGCTTTTTTCAAAGGTCGTCAATTTGCCCTCCATTTCTACCTTTGCCGCAGGGGGTACACCCCAACTTTTCACACACATGTAAAGGCACATCTCTATACACACGTTCACATACACCTAAGCTTATTCTACAGCAATGAATAGAAGCAGGCTAATATACTGGGCTACAACTTACTCACCCCACCCTTCACTTTAACAAGAGATCATGGAATTCTTCCCAGGTTAGAATACCCAGGTTTATCTCATTAAGAACGGGCAGTGGCCCTAGTG